ACTCACGCGCGGGGAGTGACCCGTGTAATTAATACCCGTCCATATGTCTGCAGCAGACTATTTCTGCAGCATACTAGCCCAACGATAAATCTATTTCTATAAACAACATATTGCGGTCATTCAGGCGATGTACTGTAGGCTATGTGTGGCTGCAGAAGAGCACTGCAGCTCTGAAAGATGTGGAGTCTGTCTTTGAGGAACTCAGGCTTTGTATCGCCTCAGTCATCACTGAAGATCACGCTTTGAGTCAAACTTCGTTTGCAAGGGTGTTGTTATTTAACGCTGGCAACAATAGAAAAGATGGGCTAGTTTTGTGTGTCTATGAGAGAGCGCGCGCTTAGTAATCACATATCATTAAGTGGGTGTCCCTAACATAATATCACAGATGCCATACAGTTGTACCAAATGGAGGCGAGAAATGTGTTAAAGGCTGCTCACTGCTGCCTATTATTGTGCCGAATGTAAAAAAAAAAAAGGTGCTTGAGTGAGTTCAAACAAGCATGAAATATAGGCCTATTTTTATTATTATTATTATTAGGTCAATATTTTAAATAATAAATAATCTTGAAAAATAATCTTAATATTAAATCTGATTTCTAAAACCATCTGAATGTCACTGTGAATGTGGCAAACAATAGCATACTAGCTAAATAACATGCAAAACTGTTGAATAATGGAATGAACCAGCAGCAGAGCGGATATTCTATAAGCAATGTGAGTTTGACCCCCGATTCCATGCATGCATATATTTTAGTATAATATTACGCAAAAGGCAGTACATTAAAAGAGTAGGATGTCCAAATACACAGTATTCAGTTTGCCAACAACCTGGTTGACATGCATAAAATATGCACACCATATCTAAATTATGCATAAAATGTGCACATCTGCTGAAAAGTAGTGCAGTGCCAGAGGATATTTTGCTACCCCAATGAGGCCACTGGCGCTACGGAGCAGTCAAGTTCAAAAAGTTGAAAGAAAAAAAGTGATACTAGTGATGCTAGGTACTAAGTAAAGTAAGATAAAAGGTACAAGACAGGTGTTTTTATTTCTTTCTTTCTTTCTTTAGCCATCTTCAAATTCAATACATACTCTGAAAGTTTAGGAATTCGGACACTGTTAGAGTTGAGCAGGAAATAGGTGTTATTCAGTGATGTGTCTGTGTAATATAATAATACTAACCCCTCCAACTCTTGTTTCTGATTGTTTTCCAGTTTGTTTACATAAAAAAATGAGATGTTATAGTATTTGTAGAACTCAGACAAACAACCAAACAAATTGTTATACATAAAATGAATAGTACTTAAATATGTGCTCTCACACGGAGATCAGTGGCCTAGAAAAATCAATTTCATTCTACATAAGGACAGATGTTTACCCCTCATGGTGATGGGCATGTTGAGATCACATGACTAGTGTAATAGTAGCTTACTCACTTTATTTCAGTAACCACCTATCAGACACTTCTAACTGTGAATTTATTGACCGTGATTTTCCCCCCAAACCAGTTAAGCGCATAACCCACCCCACAGCTGAGTTTATTGGTCAACTAAATCAAGCAGTCACCTGTCAAGAAAAGGTCAGGCTTCATAGATTCAGTTCAGAATAAATTACAAATGGATCCGAAGTGTGACCAACAGTGCTATTTATCAGGATGTAAATAAATAAATAAAAAGTTTGTCTTTGTAGTCTTTTAACAAAATTGAACAACTCTCCTTTTCCAATGAAATTTTGAATCACTTTCCACCCAGCTTCATTCACACCTCAATCACTTTTCAGAATTCAGTCTATTCACAATGGATTCCACACAATACATATTTATTTTTCTATAGTTGAAAATTACCAGAAGCTAATTTGGCTAAGTAACTTTGCAACTACATGCCAACTAGCAGTCATTAAACAGATGCACTAGAATAAACTGTCTGCTTAATATCTGCTGACACTTTAATTTTATGCTTCCCCAACAGACAATCTACTGACTATAAGTAACTTTGTAAGTGCATGTCAACTTATACTACTAACCCTATAATTGATCTGTATGTGCAAAGTTACTTATAGTTAGTAGAATGTCTAAAGTGGACTGTCAAAATAAAGTGTAACCTTGACTTTTATCGCTTCATTAGGATATGACAAAAATTCTTGCACTCACAAATGTAGAATGCCTTTAAAGCTGCCATAAAGTAAGGAAGTCAGCAATATCAACCCACAAAAACAGGTAAAATAATGTAAATAATGGCTTAGAAAGCTCTCATAACGTAACCCTAAAGTTTACTGTAACATGTTTGATATGCAACTTTCTAAGGCCTCTAAATATGTTGAAAATTTTGCTAAAAACATATTGTACACAATCTACTAAATGCCTTCTGTTGTCTGATTGATTGTTCCTACTTTTTTTTTTTTTTTTAGCAAGTCAAAGGCCTTTTAGTATAATTCTAAAAACATTTCCCTTCTGGTTGTGGTTCATGAGTCTTTACTGATTTTGATGAAGTAAACATTACAATGTTAATAATATTTCAAGATGAACATTTACTGGACTGATGTAACTTACAGTTTTTCTCGATTGCTAACGCACTATAACTGATTCGTTTGGGGGTGATAGAAAATACAGTTTGTACAGTATAAAAACCATTACGCCTATGGAATGTCCCCATTTACAGTTTTTCTCGATTGCTAACGCACTATAACTGATTCGTTTGGCACAATTTTTCAAACCATTCATACAGTCCCTTATGAAAAAGAAGTTTGTTCAAGTGTGCTATTAGTATACGTCTTTTAAACAAAAAAAAAATTAGGAAAGTATACTTTTAGCTACTTTTTATGTACTTCTCAGAAATATACTTAAAATGACATTTAAGTATATTTGAATTATAATTTTAAAAAGTCTAATTATATTTGAGCTATACTTGTGTTCCTAGAATCCGTGTTTTCATTGTTATACGGTAGGGGGCACTAGTACACATCTTCTGTACAAAATTTCCAAAAAAACACAAGTGAAGAAGAAACTGAAACAACAGATGCTTCCACATGTAATCTAACACGATCATCAGACATAAAACAGCATCAAAACTGTGTAACGTTATGGAATAAAATGTCGACCAATGAAGAGATAATACTGACTGTCAAGCTTTGGGGTGTTGATCGACTCCATCTACGTTTTGATTATCATTCTGAATCCAATTCATAGTCTTTTTTTTCAGCTTTTTGTTCAAAATGTTGTTTATTAATTTATTTTTTATTTATGAAACTTACCCACATTCAAGTGCTTAAAAAAAGAATGCATGAAGCTAGAATAAAATAGGGGAAAAGAAAACTGAAGGGGACGGGGTCAAAGGACATTTATTCCTGATGAAATACACAGCGCTGTAGTTGATCATGTTCTTGTGCATGAGGACAGCTGGCCAACAGGCTCAATTACAGGCTTTCAATACTACTTACAGATCAAATATAATGACAGAACAGTAGCAGTACTTCAGATGAGAGAACTTTTACTTTTTATATATATGTATAGTAAATACTGACGCACAAGTTGTACACCCTCAAGCTCATACTGTAACTGCTGAACTGATTTGTAGCCAAGTACAGTACTTCTTACATGTACTGTATTTTTGCAGAACTGAGAGATGACTCTATATTCTGTTGTGTGTTCATATGCAATTCTTTGGTATTTGACCTTTTCCTTTCTAGTGCTTTTCATCTACTGTACTGTAAGATCTCTTTACAGCAGTGTAATGAAAATAATATTTTCTTACTGTAAAGCTTATTGTTGAATTTCACTGTATCTGCTATATTTACTGTAACATGTATCTGCTCTAATTATGTTGTATACTGTAATAGACATTGAGCTGTAAAATGATACCTGATTGCCAAAAGAAGGTTTTTGCAACAGTGTTATGAATTGATCTCATTAGTGTGTAAGACTATGTTGTTGTGTGTGTGTTTCTGAGGGCTTGTGTGTCATGTCTGAGGGCAACGTTTGTTTTTTTTTTCAGCAAGATTGAATAGTTTTGAGTGGAGAGCTTCATTTTGACCTGAAAATAGGAAGTATGGGGAATCGGGGAGAAGTTATGGATTTGTGTTTCGAGAAAAGGAGTCACAATTTCAAGAAATGTGTTTAAGCAATCGAGAAAAACTGTAA